GAATCTAAATATCTCTAGAGGGAATATTTTTTCTTGTTAGACTATGTATATAGTGAACAGCTAAAAGCCTTTATAATGATAATGCTGGGGAATGGAGCCTACACACATGCGATAAGTTATGTACTTTCTATTTGGCTGTACAATTGCAGTGATTTGTGGGACACAATTTGACCCATGATGTTTCCAAATCCATCTCATAATGAGTTGAACTTAGCACTCGTGTCTACTCTGTAAGCATGTCAAAGCTTTGGATGGTCTGGGAACACTGTGCTTAATTTAGCAGGATATGTGATTATAAAAAGGAAGACTCGGGGTATGTCCCTGCAAAAGACCAACATTTAGAATAATCGGGGAGAACTTACCTTTCATCCATTTTGAGAAAGGTAGAATTAATTCTGACAGAAAAAGTACCAATTGAATGGAGGGGGAGGAGCGGATGAAGTGGGGCGAGAATGAAGAAAGCTAGTTATATGAGGTGGATGTAAACTAACGAGATGACTTTTAAGCACACGTCAAGCCAATGTTTGAAGTGGTGCTGTCCTTCAAAATTACTTTGAGAGCACATATCTGTATTCCAGGGATGTTGCCACTGCTCAAAACATCTTGGGCACTGCTCCTGGAGATGTTTCCTGTTACCCTTTATAGTGTGGCTGTACAGTTAATATCATTTCATAATGATGACAGACTATGGCATTATTTCTATCACTTTTCCTGTTTGTAAATGTGCAGAAGAAATATCATTCCATGGATCAATGTCTCCCTGTCATCAGCCTTTATATACCTGTGGTATATTCTCTGAGCCTTCGCAGAAGGACTACTGTGTGGTGGGAGCAATCTGAATATAGCTCTTTGCTCTCAAGTGTCCAGCTCTTCATCTTCCTACTCACAAGGACCAAGGCACACAATTAAGATCAAAGTCTTTCTTATAAAGTGATTCTGACAGGACAGTGACCAGAGACAAAGAAAGCACAGGTGCCAGGCAAATCTCTAAAGGGAATTCTTTGTCACAAGAGTGACAAATGCTGTTTGGGTTCATCTTATGGGACACAGGTGTTGCTTTGATGTACAGAACACTTCGCAGTAGTATTTATCATAATGTGATTTTATCTGTTTTGTTAGACACAGGTTGAACAGAGGAGAAATGTTAGATAGATTCCAACAAGTGAAACTCTCAATTACTTCAGCTGGAATTTGGAAATATATGCAATTTCCATCAGTTCATCATTCTGTCAACACATATTTATTGGACATACTATGTGTTAGGCATGGTACTAAATGTTCAGGTAATAGTGATATATGATAGATCTGATCCCTGCCTTGTTGGTGTGTATATTCAGATATTTAAAAAACAGGTAGTAAAGAGTGGCAAGTTATTACAGGGATGTTTCAAGAGCCATGAGACTGTGTTGTGGGAATATATAGTCTGGGGGTCTGGAGAGGTTTCTTCAAAAAGTGAAAGAAGAGTGGTAGAGATGAAAAGTACAAGGAGAACATTTCAGGTGGAGACAATGGCAGGTGCAAAAGCCTGGAAGTAAGGATTTAGCACGGTACAGCTGAGTTGAAGGAAGGTCAGTGAGGTTACTGGGTAGAATAATAGAGGAATAATGATATGAAAAGGGGCTGGTGAAGTTAGGGTTGGACAGACCACACATGGCCTAAATAAAGGTCTTATTAAAGGAGTTTGAAAGGCACCCTAAAACCCCACAGGAAGCCATGAAAGTATTTTTAAAATGGGAAAATGATTATATTTACATTTCAAGAATTTTATTCTAGCTGCCTTGTGTAGACTGGACTGGGCGGGGACAAAAAATGGAGGCAAAGAGACAAGTTGGGAGATCCCTGCCATATGCAGGCAAGAGTAAATGACTTAGGCTAGTTTCATGTAATGCCCAGGGGCTATGACCAGTGTCTAGAGCCTGGGAGAACCTTAGGGCCAACCTGTAAGCCCTAATGAAGTTGCTTTTAAAAACTTGGTAATGTGTGGAGGTTGGGTAAGCTGGGAGCAGAGGTGATTTGGAACATCACAGGGAATAAAGTTCCTGCCTCTTCCAGGTCCACGGTTGGGGAGCTGTCCAGGAGGCGGGTGCTGAAGTGCTGAAGCCAGGACCTGCCTAAGGAAGCTTCATGGGATGTGGGCAGGTGGTGCAAGGTGCTAAAGCCTACCTCAGGGTCAGGAGGAAGGGAGTTGGTCTTTCTTTGTCTTTTATCCATTTCCTTTTTCTCTTTCCCTTATTTATTTCCTTCCTCTACCTTCTCTCTTCTCCCATTTTCATTTTCTGGCAATCTGGGCAGCTATAGCTCACTCTCCCTGGAAGAAAGAGGGAAGAGTGTGCCTCTTGCTCCTCCTCCATCAGTGACTTCACTTTATAAGAAGTCTACAGAGTATTGATGATAGCAAACTCATAAGAATCCTCACTCCATCTTAGGGTTGGATGACTGGTTGTTATTGTTAAATTGGCCATCCCAGCCTCTTCTGAGGCATTAGGTGGGAAGATATTGTTATTACACATTATAGATATTATTAGTAGTTATTACTCACTAAGCATTTACTGCGGGCCAGGCAGTTCACCAAACACTTTACTTCCCCAAGCTGCTAAGAGGTAGACTTTATTATGTTTGTTTTATAAATATGGCTTGACTTAGAAGATCAGTGGTTGTGATTTGTGCTATTTATTCAATAAATTATCTAAGGCTATATAACTGAGACATGAGGATGGAGAATGTGGGAAATAAGATTTATTAATATCTGCTATAAATAGATGCTTCTGATAGTCATTTTATTTAGTCTCATAACAATCCTGTGAAATCATACTGTTAGAGTCATTTTACAGATGCAGATGCTGAGGCTCAGAAAGGTTCAGCAATTGGCTGAGGTCACACAATTAGTAAGTGGCTGAGCCAGTTTTTAAACTTGATACTCTATGATTCTAAAGTCTATGCTCTGTTGTCCACAGTGCTACTTTAGTTTTATGGGCCAGTTACATCTACAGTCTAGTTGGATTTTAGCAAGGGAAAACTGCTGTGCCTCATTCTCCTGCAGTTCCATTTACCTCTGGGTCTTGAGGCCTCCTATATTGTCTCGATTCTGAGGGGGCATCTTCCCACGTCAGAGCATAGCAGTGGTGTGCAGGCTTCCAGTGAATGGGTGCATCTGTGTGTTCTGTAATTGCACACTTATTAGGTCATAAGGTATCATCAGACCAAACTTGCCTTTGTCTGAATCCCCATTGGACAGTTTGGTCTCAGTATCAATATTGGATATATCAGTCTGGTAAACAGCCTTTAACAGGAAGGAGGGAAGCCAAGAACAAAGTCTCCTTCCAAATGAAACTCTAGCAGATGGGAGTGAACAGAGTCAACACCTTAGTTGCTTTAAATCCCCTGGAGTGGCTACAAAAGAGAGAGGATTTGCTGGAGTGAGGAGAAAAAATCCCTTTGATTCATCCACATTAATTTAGCATCTCCCAGGAGGGAGGGCTCTGGCATCACCTTTTGTTCTCCATCCCCCGCACACAGCCTCCACAATCCCAAAGGACAAAGACTAGTCTATGGTGGGGAGCGCCTACACTGCCCCTTCCTTCACTTTAATTAAATCCATTTGTCCTGGGGGCAGCACTGAGGCTCAGCATGTCCCAGGGCTTTGATCTTTAACCCACACACATCTGAAGGAGTGGGAAGCCAGTGCCCAGAGTGAGGACAATGGTTTCTTCCTATGACAGCACAGCTCGAGTTATGAGCTCTTGAAAACAGCAGACTCTCTGAAGTTTAGGTGAAGAATCTTAGACCTAGCTTTATATTACAAAGCTGTGTGCCAATTGAAATACCCTCCTCCTTGACTTAAGCCCTTTGCCCTCACTTTTTGAAGGTGGATCCACCAGGATGGCAATTTGAATTTGTTTTAGCAGTTTAATGCAGAGGCTTCTCTGGATTATGGGGTTTGACATTTAGCCCCTTCCAGATCCATTTATTTACCCCCTTTATAGAAATGACCCTCCTCCCACCTCCAGCCCTTTTGGTCTGGAACAGATCATCACCAACCATCTAGGGTTCAGCATGACACAGCAGAGTGTCACATGAGCTGCTGTGCTGGGCCAACTTTACTCAAGCACTGCTTGCTCAAGGCTGACTGCAGGTGGCAGACTGGTGCCATCCTGGGAGACAAGTGGCAGCTGAACTCAGCGGTTACTGCTTTATATCAGAGCCACATGGAGTTAATGATCTTCTAATCCAACCCTCTCAGTGTAAAGATGAGGAAACTGATGCCCAGAGAAGTTCAAGGTCACAAAGGTCATTAGTGATAGAACCCAAATAGGAAGCAGGGCCTCTGGTAGAAGTACTCCTCTGTTTACTGAAGAATTTGTCATCCATCTCATCCACCTGCCTCAGAGACCTGACTCCACAGAGAACTGGACTTGGACTGGCCTGAGCGTCAGTCCTCACTCTGATAGCAACTTGCTGGTGCTTCATCTCTTTGGTTCTCAGCAGATAAGGACATTGTAAAAGGGCAGAAATAGCGAACATGATAAGGCATGTCCTACCTACGTTGCTGGTTCTGTTGTGGTTAATAAGGAATAAATAAGATGTCAAATGGGAAAGCAAGGTAAAAGTCCATTAAGAGAAAGTGCTATAAACATAGGAAGGCTGATTATTATTTGGGAGTAATATGAGTTGTTCAATTTTGTTTTTTCCTACAGACACTGGAGGCAGCCAATCAGGCCAGGCCAGAGATGCAAGAAATGAATGCTCATTAGCATAGAAATCCCTTGGAGAAACTCAGTGATCCCTGTAAGTCTGCAGAAAGTGTGTGTGTGTGTGTGTGGTCTGTGTGTGTGGTGTAGGTGGGTGCTTGTGCATGCATGCACGTGTGTGTGCACATTTGTATGTGTGCACATCTGGATGTGTGTCTTGGGTAGAGGGGACACGGGGAGGGAAGCCATGGACCCCTTCTGCATTTTGGCTGATAGAGGAAAAGGGAGTGATGGGGATGGGTAGAGACCCACCTGTCGGCCACATCCAGGAGAGGTAGCACCGTCCACTGCCACAGGCTCAAGCCTTCATTGGTGGCCACATGCCAGACCATCCTGCTTTGCTCCTTCCCAGTTTTGTTTTCCACCAGCACCAAGGAGACGTTTCCCTGCAAGACTCCACGGATGAGCCAGGACATTCGGAGCTGCAAGGGAGAGAAGAGCCCGAAGGACAAGGTGTTAATGTTGAAAGGAAATCTTAGGTGTCCTTCCTGGAATTCTCAGCTGAAGCCTACAGGATTTTGCTGGAGACTCAGCTGAGGTTTGCTCAGTGAGGAGAGCTGGACACCCACTGCCTGATCTCGCTCACTGTCTCCCAAAATGGCTTTCATTAAGGTTCAAAGAGCTGTGAGGGGCAACTGATGGCCAGTTTCGGAACTTTGTTCAGATTGATATCATCATCCTAAATTTCACAAGATTCTGCCTCTGAGGTGAGATCAAGATCAAGATCTCAAGATACCCTGAGGGTTATTAAATGAACTTCCTAAAGAGGACCCAAAGATTCTTTTCTGTGGCTCCAATTCACTTTGTGACTCAATTTCTTTCAGTGATTTAAGTGTCATAGATTTTTATTCCTTCCCCAAAGACTGTAATAATTTCATTTGAATGGTACCATGTTATATGTTAGTTAACTGGAGACCTTATGACTTGATACCTATAGCCACTGGTAAGCAAAGGTGAGACAAAAATCTACATATCAAGATCTTTTAACAAGGTTATCTTTCAGAATGAAGATGCCCACTTTGCCAAAAGGAAGCCACAACTATATATTTCCATTGTGTCTTTTTGGTTTTTAAGATTGGCACCTGCACTAACATCTGTTGCCTATCTTCTTCTTTTTTCTCCTTCTTCTTCTTCTCCCCAAAGCCCCCCAGTACATAGTTGTATATTCTAGTTGTAGGTCCTTCTGGCTCTGCTATGTGGGACGCCACCTCAGCATGGCTTGATGAGCAGTGCTGGGTCCGCGCCTAGGATCCCAACCAGCGAAACCCTGGGCCGCTGAAGCAGAGCTCATGAACTTAACCACTTGGCCATGGGGCCGGCCCTGTCATTATGTCTTTATTAAAGGCTTCTTTGTCACTGTTCCCTGGACATATGAAAGGCAATCGTAGCTAATATTTCTAAGAAAGTTGAGTATGATTATGCTCAGAGGTAGTATATACTATAAACAGGGCCTCTGGTCTTTGTGTTGAAAATAATAGAGGTTGTATGTTTGATAGAAACAATCAATAAACAACATTTAAAACTTAGGACAACTACAGCATATCATTGCTCCAAATATTCCTGTTCAGATCCTGTAGTAAAAAATGGCTATTGTAGAGAGGAAGGTAAAATATGTCCTGTGGTAAGCTGGAGTTTTCATTAGCTATGGTGTCCCTTTTTCTTTGATTCTCATTGTTTGAAGACATGCTTCTCTGTAAATTCCTGCTTCTTTGTCTTCTACTTCCTGAGCTCATGGTTGCCTCACAATTTGATCAGAGAGGTTATGTACCGTGAGGTGCTGAAGCCAACGGCTTCCCACTCTGTTGCATATAACCCCTTCACTACAAGGCCACACCTACGTTGGGGTGCCCAGGTGCTGTTCTACTTCTGAGAGCCTGAGTCAGGTAAGCCTGGTCTATAACCATAAACCTCTTCGCTTACACCTTTCCTATTTCCAAATCCACTGTAGCGATTACTTGTCTCCATTGAGAACTCCTAGGATAATTTAACAAAGCTGTTGACTTTTTTCTGGTCCCATTTGGCTTTCTTGTGCTGTCTGGATGCCATGACTGGAAATTTTAATCCTACTCTTGCTAACTAAACCCTCTCAGGCCTCAGCCCAGGCGTTACAGTGCCCAGCTTGGGATAACGCTCACCACATGCTTTCTCTTCTTTTGCTCTTTGGACACAGAATGTTGTTGATTTGGATGCCGTGAAACATTCCGTGAAATGTTGAACCTCAGTGCCCTGGACAGTTGGTGGTACTTATTCATCCACTGTTGATTTCCACAGTTGATTTCTGAACACACATAGCACAATAGGTGTTTCAAACTCTTCCTCAAACACTGATGCTGTCACCTCCTGGTCCCCAAATCCTGATCCATTATTTTGATTCCTACTTTACTGACAAAGATTTACTCTATCAGGTGCAATCTCCTTCAGCCTCTTTTCTTTTTTTCTTTTCTTTTGCAGCATAAGTGTCTATTTACCCAGCTTCTCTCTTCATTTCCTGTCTTAGAGGAAGACGTATCCTTCATCTTCTTCTGTGTTAACCTCTTCTCATTTCACCTCCCCTTAGTCCTTGCTCTCAGTAATTGTCCCTCCTTTCTCCAGCACCTTCAGAGTCTCTCTACCTTCTGGCTCTTCTGTCTAAAAATAAGATCAGGTTTCACCTATCCTGGAAAAATATCCTTTATTTGATCCTGTCAGCTCCTCTGGCTTGCCACCTATTTCTGTACCTCCATTCAGATGTGAACATCTTGGCTAACTGGTATGTAACTGCTGCTTCTATTTCCTTGGCCCTCCTTCTCTCTTTAATTTCTTTCAACCTGATTTCTATCCTCCTTAGTAACAAAGCAGTACTCACTATGTCTTTTATAACTTACTCTTTGAGCTCTTTCCACAGCCTCCTAAAGTGCGTCTCCCTCTCCACTCTTTCTCCCTTCTACACTCTTTTGTCTATTTCTGTCATGTTTTCCTGTTTTTCACTGCCGTCTGTGAGTCTTCAATAGTTTTTCACTCTCTATCAATTAAAATCATGGTGTTCGCATTCCTCTATAATGTAAGCAAATCAGCTTTTTAGGCATTCAATGAATATTTATCCAGTACTTATGCTGATCCACATGTATCCTCCATTCTAGAATGGTCTAAGAGCTCTAGAGTCAGAGAGATCTACATTCAAAACCTATTCTTGCCCCTTTGGTCATTTTGAAGCTCAGTTCTCTATTCTCTAAGATGGGAATAGTTTTATCTATCTTATAAGATTATAGTATAATTAAAGGAAATAATAAATAAAGCAACAAAGTATTAAAAAGGAATTTTGGCTAAAACTCTGTTAGAATAGAAACTGCATTTAAAAGGGAAGCCTGAGAACACAATGATGCAGGACTTTCAAGAGAGGTAGATGAAAATGAGTTACATAATTCTTAATTCCTCAACTACACTTTGGAAATAAAAAAGTTGGTGGTTGACTATTAGGAGAGAGTTTTTGGAATGTACTTTTGGTATATCATGGGTTCTACCTCACTTCACCCTCCTGCAAAGAAGGTTCCCTCTCCATCCCAAGTCAAGAGTAGTGTTAGTGATACTACACTGAGCACTTGAAATTTACTCCCATTTTGGGTGAGCACAGTGGATTAGTGTCCGTCTCATAACTGGAAAATCTGAAGTATGAACAAGTGGCTGGTTAGCTGGTCTGATGGCAGAACAAAGGTGAAGTGGCAGTATTGAGTAGCCTGTACTCTCAGAGTTTGCTGGGGCAAAAATGCCTGAGCGTTGCACATAGACTAGAGTGAGCTATATATGAGGGAGTCCATGTAGATCATTTTAGATCTTGTCCTAGAGGGCTGCTTGGAGGAGTAAATAGAACTCAGCAGAAAGAAGCTGCAGGTACCTCAAGGTGCTCGAGGGCAGAGAAAGGAGTAAGTGACCACCTGGAATGGAGATACATATATCCTAGTCAAGATAAAAGATTCCCAGCCATAGTGGAGGGGGTGGGGAGAAAGGTAGATCTCCAAAGAGCCTACAAAAGTGTCTCCTGTGAGAGATATTAAGCCTTAAACATTTGTCACATCCAGAAAATACCAAAGCCAGGTCACCACAACAGTCCTGGTCAAGTAAGAACTCTCCTGCACTCCTTACCTCTTCTCCCTCTATGTACTTAAGAACTTGAAGGGTCAGAAGTTAGCAAGACAAGAAGAAGAGAAGAGTTGAGTGAAGGAGGAGAGAGATCAATGACCAGTCTTTTCTTGATTTCAGGCAATAGGGCCAAATGTGGTAGGTGGAGGGGAGGGAAAGAAGCCCTAACTTTAAAGCAAGATTGATGTTTTGACTGGATGGGCATTTTGATTTCTACATAAGCCTTTATTTTATGTTTTGAAGTGACTGAAGAACTGTCTATACTACCTTAGAGCAACCAGATAAGTAGTGAGGTCTGCCAGAGTTCTCACCCAGTCGTCCACACATGGGGGCTCAATGAATATTGGTTCCTCAACTCCCTCATACCAGTCCACATGCCAGTTTTGCACCTGCCATGAATTTTTCTTCTTCTGTGCTTTTGATCTTTCCATTTCCTCTACGTGCTCTTTCCTTCTTGACACTTAAAAAAGTTAAATCCATTTTCTTTCTAAGGAGCCATTTCTAATCATTTAGCTCAGAAATGACCTCTCCCTCCTCTGAAATCTTATAACTGATGCTATTGGGACCACCACAGGGCACAGCTATGCTGCCTTATCTTCCCTCCATACTCTCTATCCCCCTTGGATTATAAGTTCCTTCAAGGCAGAGACTGTCTTGTTCATCTTGAATTCACAGTGGTAGTCAAGGGAGGGCACAGGCTGGGAGCCGATCAATATCAGAAGGAATCAAAATGTATCCGTATACAAGAAGACTCTCCTGTCTTACCAGGTCCCCCTCTTAGGGACAGAAATCAACTTTCCATCCTGTGAAGCTCCTTAGCACTTTCTTGCATTCTAGGGGTCAGTTTACAGGAAAGAGGAGAGGATCCAACCGCTTTGCAGCCAACTGGCTATAGTCAAAACTGCCCAGTTCTCAGCTGCTCTTAGGAAACTTTCAGTTTGAAGTAGAGTCTGCTAGCGGCTTAAGCATGTTGCTGAGATGTAGCCCTGTGATATCAATGCTGGGGCCATTGGCCAGCCAACTACTGAGCTTTCTCCATCTTCCTGTACTATGTTTTAGGACAATTGGCCTGGGCAAGAGAGAACTGGGCTGGCTGCCAAGGGATGGTGCCAAGAATGGCATCCTTAGCTCCTGAGGTGGTCCACCAGGATCCCTCTTGGTATCAGTCCTTGAGGGAGATGATCATCCATTCATTCAATGAATATTTACTGCCTGTCTACTATGTGCTGCACATTATGCATATCTTCCCTGCCTTCATGGACCTTATCACCTAGTTGGGAAATTTGAATTTAAATGAGTAATTGTAATTGTGCTGAGTGTAGCAAAAGAGGAAGTAACTGGAGCTACCTGACAGTGAAGACATAATACACAAGACAGCCGAAACACTTGACATTGACAGTCAGGACTTGGGTCAAATTGGCCACTTGACCCAACGGTTCAAAGCTATGGATAAAGAGAAGAATTAAAAATTTGA